CCAAGTCTAAATGGTAATAAGTCATGAACTTCTGGACCAAAACACATATACATATATTATTTACAAAATATTACTAACTAGATAGTAAAGAGCTAAACTATTTAATTTTAATGTAATTTTTTATTTAAATGCTTTAAGAGAAATATATTTATTTTTCTATTTCATTTGATACGATGCGAGAACAATACTTTACCTTGTAAGTACATTAGAAATTATAATGTTTATAAATTTTACTGAATGAAGGAACAAAAGCTTGAGTGAGTAAAACTGTATGAATGCATACGAAATTTTTATCCTCTTGTTCTTACTTACATGCATACATACTACATTTACAACTATTGTAACTACAGTTATCTACTTCCCTAACACAGTCGTAGAAGCAGATTTTATTCTTTTATTACTGAGCTACACACGTTTCAGGTGATTTTATAGCTGTATGATTCAATTCAATCACTTTTATGGCAGCGATGAACGTACTTTAACAAGAAGATACAACTGCAGCCGTTAGATATGATTTTCACAATAATGCGCTCACATACTTGAAAAAGCATTTACAACAAGCCAATTCAACGAACATTTTATAATCAATAAAAAAATAATTTTCTTTAATAAAAAAGATTTCACTTTGTTAAATTCTGGATTACTATAAATTTTATTTACTATATTTCAGTTTTTCTTAAATATTTGAGAAGAAATTGCTGCCAGTCTGTACTATAAAACTTTAAAGTCACTAATTTTTAAAATTAAACAGAAGCTGAAGAACAGTATTATCACTTTTTAAAATGATAAGAGTCTTGCAACATTTTAAATTAACATATGAGCATCGTTTCTACAGCATTTCATCAGACACAAATTCATTACATTAACATTTTATAGTGAAATTTTTAAATTCCTTATTATTACTAGCCAATTATTTGGCTCATAAACTGAGAATTATTTACATATTTTATCAAATGTTTTGACTTTACCATGACATTCAAATTGATGTTTACTTCTTCTGCAATGTCGTAAAAACCGAAGATCGAAGAACTCATTGGTATAACACAATCTTTTGTACATCATTAATAAGCATTAATAGATACAAATTGTGGATGTCCATTTAATGCCTCATAATAAAACCCAAAAAAAAAAAAACAAAATTTGAAAATAGAAACAAATTTGTTGGGAAAAAAGTTGTCAACTGTTATTTTGTTGACAATGACTTGTTTACATTTTAATATCTGCTGCCTAATAGCCAATGACCTTAAACATGGCTATGGTTGATGTTTTATAAGTTGTCAGTTTTTGTTAATGTTGTTGTTGCTATTATTGTTGTTTTATTAATACTTACAAATGTTTGTCATAAATTTGCTTTTGCTAATGTTGTAGAAGTGGCATTTTCATATCTAACTGTCATGTTAATATACTTTTTTTACAAATTACAATAATAAAATCATAAACCCAAAAAGAACTTTTATTTAGCAAAAACTAAATTATTCAATAGATTATCGATTTTTCATCATATACATCTTTAGTGAAATCATGCGAATACGTCACTGTAAACAACAAATGTTTATTTGACTTTTTAAGCATTTGTCATTGAGCATTTGTGTGAGAGAGAGTTTTAACGATTTCTTTTATTGACATTCGATGAAAGGAAATGTGCGTAATGAAAAGATATAAAAAAAACTATAAGTGATATTTGAATGTATTAAATAGATTGAAGGAAGTTATTTGAATTTGATTAATGGTAATGGCAACATGATATTTAAATAAAATTTCTAACTTAACAAATGAATTTAAGTACAAAGGCGAAATCATTAAGATTTTTTTGTTACAAAATATTTTAGAAATTATATTAAGAAGATTTAGGAATTTTTAGTGGGACATGAGAGGGTATTCAAGTTAAGGTAAAATTGTGAAAAAAATAAACATTACTTGAAAAATTTTAAACTAAAAGATTTTAATAAATATATTTTGTTTATTATTTTTTACTTTTATTGTCTCATTTCATTTCCCTCTATTTCATGTTAGTTTTTATATTTATTTGTTATGTTCTACAATTCTTTTTTGCAGTATTTTAATTAGTTGTCATTACAAGCAGTAACAACACAACAGTCATGAATAACAACTCATTAGTATTTTTTCATGTTGTTGTATTTGTTATGGTAGTTGTAATTGTAATTGTTTTTGTAGTTGTAACTAAACAAGTTCATATATGGTTTTAAGTATTATTATTCTCATTTGCTTATACTACGTATGTACTTACATACATACATATCTATTCACTACTCATTCACCCAGACACTCAGCTGTTCATTTATTCTCACACTTGCTCGTTCACTCACTCATTCATTTATTTATTTTTGTCTTCATTTACTACTTTTTATCTTTGTTTGTTTGCTTGTTGTTTTCCTCTTTATTTGCCATTTTTGCTCCTTTAATGTCTGTTTTTATTTTCATTTCCAGTAACACGCCTATTATGTAAATTGTCTTTTTATATCCTGTACCCTACATATGGAAAATAGGTAGCCATTGATTTGGCTTTGACTTTTTTAAACAACTAAAGATATATTTTCCTTTCATGGAGAAAGCAATTTTTCTCGAAAATTTATATTTTTAACAAAAAATGTTTACGTTGAAATAAAATAAGATATTAAATTTAGGAATCTAACAAAAGAGTGTTTAAGAGATTTTCAAAATAGTTTTTTTGTTTAATTTAAGAGTTTAACTACAGAATGGTTAACTGATCTTTAAAAATTCACAAAATAGTTTTGAGAATTGTTGTTTCCGTTTTTTTAAATATTTTTGAAAAGGGTGCAAAAAATTCTTAAATTCTGTTTCGTAAACAAACAACAATGAAATGGAAAATAATTAGTTCTTTGTATATTGTTATTTGCATAGAAAATATAAATTTGAACAGGCGGTGCTTTATTTTTTTTAAGCTTAAAGTTTTGTAGTCATTAATTTTGAGAACTTCTTAAGGAGGTGTTGAAATAGGAATTTTATTTCATAAAAATTAAAGAAAGTTTTAAATATATAATTAACTTAATATCTTTAAAGTGAACGCATTCAATTCATAAATATGTAAAAATACAACAATGTTATACCTTCTTATAAAAACTTTATTCAACAACTATTTTAGCAACTTATCATTTTATTAACGTTCATAACCATTTACCCTCTTTCAACTTTTATATATTTTCTTACACTTAACACAAACATAGGGGTTATAAAATTACAAGTTTTTATGCTGCTTTATTTCTAGAATTTTTTGGGCAACTTGACATGAACTGCAGATTTCTTTTTGATAATTTTACTTTCTTTACCCTTATACTTGACTTTGAAACTGCACAATTATTATTACTTGTAGTTCTACTAAAAATTTATCAATTCAATTAAATTTTTCCAGCAAGGGGTGTGTGCGTATGTGTTTAAGTAATATGCAAATATTGCAGTAATATTAGTTTCTACGTGTTTGGAAATAATAATAAAAGAAAATACTTAATAAAGTTTTATATTTGATTTTAAAAACACAACTTAATCGATTTGTAAGTGGTACTTTAATTGGATGTAGCAGAAACTATGCAGCCGATGTCTTAAAGTTTTGATAACAATAAACAAAGATATACTTTAGATTTCTTAGTTTTTAATTAAAACCGTGCAATACAGAACTAAATAATTGAAAATTAAAAAGCTCGTTTTAGTAACTGCTTTTTCTTTGTCTTTACACCTGTTTTGTTAAACAATTTTATTCAAATACACATTTTTCTAAGTACATTGAAATAATAACAAAGGAAAACACCTTAACAAAATAATATTTCTTTATAATTTACAAGTTTAAATAAAAATATTTCTTCTGCACATCTTATCAATACAAATGTATAAAAAGTAAAAACATGATATAGAAAACCGGAATAAATGTATATAATTTTCCCTTAAAACTTAAAAACCAATTAAAAACACATTTATCTTTACTTACAGTCCATAGCTACTACGACTGCATATAACAAATATATGCTAAAGACAAATACATATGCTCATAATCACACTTGCATATATACATATGTATGTACATTTATCTAACAGTGTATGTAGGTAGTAAAGTAATCGTATGTATATAAACTTATCAACACTTATGCCACAAACTTGTGCAAATATTTTATATATCACACTAACCAAAGTCCAACACTGGATGGCAGCACAAAAAAAATTAAAAACAAAAATCTTTTAGCTTTTGTGCATACAATATGTTTAGTTTTTAGATTTCATTTTATAAAATAATTCATATTATTTTATTTATTTTTCTTGTACTTTAAAAAAAAACAAAGCAATGTTAAACATTAAAATAGTATTATTTTAGAATAGAATACATACATTGCCACAAGTGTTAGAGAGAAAAAGAAAAACTCTTAAATGTATGCTATATTTTTACATACACTTTACAATAATTCATATTATGCACTCAAAACCACTCATTTATTATCACATACAAACTCACAAATATGTATTTGTACATTTCTTTATAAACTTATGAATGAGAGCAATACATATGAAAGGATATTATGGAAAATTCTGTACTTTAGTACTTTTTTCAGTAATTTGTATAGTCTAGTCTACAGTATATAGCCTAGTCTATAGTCTAGTCTATAGTCTAGTCTATAGTCTAGTCTATAGTCTAGTCTATAGTCTAGAATATAGTCTAGTCTATAGTCTAGTCTATAGTCTAGTCTATAGTCTAGTCTATAGTCTAGTCTATAGTCTAGTCTATAGTCTAGTCTATAGTCTAGTCTATAGTCTAGTCTATAGTTAAAATGTTTTTCAATTTAAGCCAATATAATATTTTACAAAATCAAATAGTTATAAGTTTATTAAAAGTTAATTCTTGAATGAAGAAAATTATTGAAAAATAATTGACAAAACAAAATTATAAAATACAATGAATGTATGTTTTTATACAAAATTATTTAAAGAAAGTAAAAACATAACATTTCCTCCTCGTCTATTTCAAAACGTGGTAACTAAGGAGAGTAACGATCAGGCTTCTTCTTAATGCGGCTTGATTTGCGTGGTTGTGGTTCTGCTATTGCTAATGGAGTTTCAGGAATTGATTCCGATGGATTTTCATCCATTAAGGCTCTAGGATTATTCACTTCATCACTTTGATTCTGACTATTTCCAATATTTTCAAAAGTTTGAGGACTTTGTTGTGACGGTTGAACTGATTCTAATAATGAAAGAGCTAATTGGGAAACATTTTTAAAATTAGAGTTATTTAGCGATTTATTCAAACGAATTTGATTAATATGACGTTTCCAAACTTTATTTCCAACATCAATTAGAAACATCATATTTCCAATAGTTTTTATTATTTTTCCGGGTATCCATTTATCCCCTTCCCAAAAGTTTCGACACAAGACATTATCATTAATTTTAATAGGAGGTTTTAAAGTATCAGAGCATGAGGTGTGGGTGCTGGTAGGACTTAAGAGAGAAAGCAATGTTCGAGGTTGTCGACCATGTAAAAGTTCTGCGGGCGATTTTCCACATGAGTTTGGACTAGTTCTATATGTTGTTATATAGGCAAGAACTGATGCTTGTAAACTTGAACCATCTGTTAATTGTTTTTTAATTGAAGTTTTAAATGTACGTACGAACCTTTCTGCATTACCATTCGAAGAAGGATGAAAAGGTGCTGTAGTGAGGTGTTCAATACCATGTACTTGGCAGAATACTTTAAAATCGTTTGACGTAAATTGTGTTCCGTTATCCGTCACAATTGTTTCTGGTAATCCTTCTATTGAAAATATGTTTTGTAGTGCTTTGATCGTAGATATTGTAGTAGTATTTTCCATTTTTATAACATATGGAAATTGAGAAAAAGAATCGACTACTATCAGCCACATGTTTTTCTCGAAAGGACCAGCATAATCCAAATGAATACGTTGCCATGGTAACGTTGCTTTTGGCCAGGGAGAAAACTGTTTTGGTGGATTTGTTGAGTGCGAATAACAAGCTTGACATGACGACACGAGTTTAGCAATATCATCATCAATTTTCGGCCACCAACAATAACGTCTCGCAATTTGTTTCATTCTAACTATCCCCCAATGTCCTTGATGTAAAAGTTGTATAATACGTTTTCTTAGGTGTTTGGGAATCACGACACGATTATAATTATTTTGTAAAATTATAACATCACCATTAAATGTCAAGCTATTACGATGACGGTAGTATGGTAGTAATTCTTCAGAGAACGACTTATCTTTATCTGGCCATCCATTTTGTATAAAATTTAAAACTTTTGTTAAATTATTGTCTTCTTTAGAAAATTTTGCAATTGCCTTAAAATCAATAGGGAAATTTTCAAATTGCTCATCAATGTTAATTTCATTAACTTCAATTGATTTATCAAACTCAACATCTTCTTTGTAAGGTAATCTGGACAATGCGTCTGCATTCCCATGGCATTTTGTACTCTTATACTTGATAGTATATACATAACTAGACAAAATTAAAGACCAACGCTGTAATCTGTTGGCAGACGTTACAGAAATTCCTTTTTCTGGATTAAAAATTGATATTAAAGGTTTGTGATCGGTAAACAAAGTAAACTTCCTTCCATATAAATAATCGTGGAACTTCTTTACACCGAAAATAATAGATAATGCTTCCTTTTCTATCTGACTATAGTTTTTCTGACTTTCATTTAAGGTTTTTGAAGCAAATGCAATAGGACGTTCCGATCCATCAGGGTATATGTGAGATATAACCGCGCCGACACCATATGAAGAAGCATCTGTCGCCAAAACTATGGGTAGTGTTTCATCAAAGTGAGCTAACTGAGTCATTTCAACTAACTGATGTTTAAGTTCTTGAAAAGAATTCTCTTGTTCTTTCCCCCAGAAAAAGCTTTGATTTTTCTTTCTTAATAGATTGAGTGGACCACAAATTGTAGAGAAGTTTTTGATAAATGAAGCGTAATAGTTAACTTTTCCTAAAAACGATTGAAGTTCCGCAATATTTCTTGGTCGAGGCAACTTACTAATGGCTTCCGTTCTATTTTCGGATTGTTGAATTCCAGAAAAACTAATAATATGACCAAGATACTCTATCTTTGGTTGCATAAATGAGCATTTTTCAAAATTACATCGAAAACCAGAATCATACAAACGAGTTAAAAGAAGTTTGAGATTATTAATATGATCTTCATCATTAGAACCGGTACATATTATATCATCCAAATAATTAACGCAGCCTGGAATGCCGGAAATTGTCTGTTCAATTAATCTTTGGAAAATAGCTGGAGCACTGGCTACTCCAAACGGTAAACGTTGGTATTGATATAACCCTAATGGAGTATTCACTACTAGTAAATTTTTAGATTCTTCGTCAACTTCGATTTGCAAATAAGCATCAGAAAGATCGATTTTCGAAAATAACTTTCCGTTCTTTAGTTTGTGAAATAAATCACGAATTCTTGGAATAGGATATTGCTCAACATCCATTTGGGGATTAATTGTAACTTTGAAATCAGCACAAATACGAATCTTATTATTTGACTTTGGTACTATCACGAGAGGTGAAGCCCACTGACTAAACTTTACCGGTTTCCAAATACCTAATTTGGTTAATCTCTCAGCCTCTTCTTTGAATGTATCAACTATAGCATATGGAATAGGTCTAGGTTTGAAAAACTTAGGTCTAACATCCGATTTCATATAAATATGAGCTTGCATTACATTACAACGACCCAATTCTTTGGAGAATAATTCCTTAAAATCGTTACAAATTGATTTTATTTTTAAATTTTCCTCTATTCGAAAAATCTGTACTGATTTAAATTCATCATACCAATTTAAACCAAATATATTGTTGCAATGTTCTGAATTGGCAACAATAACATCTAAAACTTTCGCTTCTTCACGAATTTTTACATATACTCTACACGATCCTAAAACTGGGATCTCTGAGTTGCCGTAAGCATGTAACTTAATAGTGGATGGAGTCAAATGAACATTTCTCAATGTCTTATAAGTATTTAAACCAATAATAGATCGGCCAGCCCCAGTATCAAATTGAAATTGTACTAACTGATCATTTAACTGAATATCTATTAACATCTTATTACCACATCTCTTTATAATCTCATCTATTACATTACAATTTGTTACATCAGAATCAATAGACTCAACTTCAACATTACTAATTGGAATAGACTTACATACTGATGCAATGTGACCTTTACGTTTGCATTTGAAACATTGTGCTTTGAGGAATTTGCAGTCTTTCTTCTCATGCGTTTTGAAACAATTGTTGCATGCCGGTAAGGGTTTCTTTTGATATTTCTCATTTTTATCTTGATTGTTTTGACGATTTTTATAATGTTGACTATAAGATGGCTTAACTGTATAAATTTCATTATCCAATTGATTTTTGTTTTTTAATGTCTCCAGTGTTTTCTGTGTTGCTTCAAACGTTTCAGCTATTTGTAGCACCTCTTGAAGTGAAGGATCATCCTTGTGTAATGCGGCAGTACGTACAGGTTCATCCGGTGTATATAAAATAACAATATCCCTTATTAATTGATCTACATATTCACTATTACAATTGTTGTTTTTACAAATAAAGTTACACTCTCTTGCCTTACCTCGTAACTCCATAACCCACTGGTTGTACGTTTCGCCCTCATGCTTTTCTCTTTTATAAAACTCATACCTACTTTTAATGACATGAATCTTGGTTTTGTAATGATCGTCTAAGTTTGAAATTAATTCAGTATATGATGCATTTTGAAGTATGTTTTTTCCAATAAGCTTTTGAAGTAAATGAAAAGTTTTGTCTCCGACCCACGAAAGGAAAAATGAACGCTTCTTATCGTTGTCTTCTACCCCGTATGCTTTAAAATGCTCTTCAAGCTGTCTTTTATACGTATCAAAATCATTTTGTTCATCATCAAAATTGTGAAACTTTGGTACTGCCACAGAAACCGATGCTAAACTGGAAACTGGACTTGCTCCTCTATTCAAGAATCTCTCGAAAAATTGGTGTTGTTCAGCTACCATTCGCTGAGCCCACTGCTGTTGCATTGTAATAACTTCTGACAAAAATGCTTCCATGTTTTAGCAATAAATGACCTCGTCGCCAATAAAATGTTTTTCAATTTAAGCCAATATAATATTTTACAAAATCAAATAGTTATAAGTTTATTAAAAGTTAATTCTTGAATGAAGAAAATTATTGAAAAATAATTGACAAAACAAAATTATAAAATACAATGAATGTATGTTTTTATACAAAATTATTTAAAGAAAGTAAAAACATAACAATAGTCTAGTCTATAGTCTAGTCTATAGTCTAGTCTATAGTCTAGTCTAGTCTAGTCTATAGTCTAGTCTATAGTCTAGTCTATAGTCTAGTCTATAGTCTAGTCTATAGTCTAGTCTATACTATAGTCTAGTCTATAGTCTAGTCTATAGTCTATAGTCTAGTCTATAGTCTAGTCTATAGTCTAGTCTAGTTTAGTCTATAGTCTAGTCTATAGTCTAGTCTATAGTCTAGTCTATAGTCTAGTCTATAGTCTAGTCTATAGTCTAGTCTATAGTCTAGTCTATAGTCTAGTCTATAGTCTAGTCTATAGTCTAGTCTATAGTCTAGTCTATAGTCTAGTCTATAGTCTAGTCTATAGTCTAGTCTATAGTCTAGTCTATAGTCTAGTCTATAGTCTAGTCTATAGTCTAGTCTATAGTCTAGTCTATAGTCTAGTCTATAGTCTAGTCTATAGTCTAGTCTATAGTCTAGTCTATAGTCTAGTCTATAGTCTAGTCTATAGTCTAGTCTATAGTCTAGTCTATAGTCTAGTCTATAGTCTAGTCTATAGTCTAGTCTATAGTCTAGTCTATAGTCTAGTCTATAGTCTAGTCTATAGTCTAGTCTATAGTCTAGTCTATAGTCTAGTCTAGTCTAGTCTATAGTCTAGTCTAGTCTAGTCTATAGTCTAGTCTATAGTCTAGTCTATAGTCTAGTCTATAGTCTAGTCTATAGTCTAGTCTATAGTCTAGTCTATAGTCTAGTCTATAGTCTAGTCTATAGTCTAGTCTATAGTCTAGTCTATAGTCTAGTCTATAGTCTAGTCTATAGTCTAGTCTATAGTCTAGTCTATAGTCTAGTCTATAGTCTAGTCTATAGTCTAGTCTATAGTCTAGTCTATAGTCTAGTCTATAGTCTAGTCTATAGTCTAGTCTATAGTCTAGTCTATAGTCTAGTCTATAGTCTAGTCTAGTCTAGTCTATAGTCTAGTCTATAGTCTAGTCTATAGTCTAGTCTATAGTCTAGTTATAGTCTAGTCTATAGTCTAGTCTATAGTCTAGTCTATAGTCTAGTCTATAGTCTAGTCTAGTCTAGTCTATAGTCTAGTCTATAGTCTAGTCTACAGTCTAGTCTATAGTCTATAGTCTAGTCTATAGTCTAGTCTATAGTCTAGTCTATAGTCTAGTCTATAGTCTAGTCTATAGTCTATAGTCTCAGTCCTATAGTCTAGTCTATAGTCTAGTCTATAGTCTAGTCTATAGTCTAGTGCTATAGTCTAGTCTATAGTCTAGTCTATAGTCTAGTCTATAGTCTAGTCTATAGTCTAGTCTATAGTCTAGTCTATAGTCTAGTCTATAGTCTAGTCTATAGTACTAGTCTATAGTCTAGTCTATAGTCTAGTCTATAGTTCTAGTCTATAGTCTAGTCTATAGTCTAGTCTAGCAGTCTAGTCTATAGTCTAGTCTATAGTCTAGTCTATAGTCTAGTCTATAGTCTAGTCTATAGTCTAGTCTATAGTCTAGTCTATAGTCTAGTCTATAGTCTAGTCTATAGTCTAGTCTATAGTCTAGTCTATAGTCTAGTCTATAGTCTAGTCTATAGTCTAGTCTATAGTCTAGTCTATAGTCTAGTCTATAGTCTAGTCTATAGTCTAGTCTATAGTCTAGTCTATAGCTAGTCTATAGTCTAGTCTATATAAGGTCTATAGTCTTCTATTGTCTAGTCTATAGTCTAGTCTATAGTCTAGTCTATAGTCTAGTCTATAGTCTAGTCTATAGTCTAGTCTATAGTCTAGTCTATAGTCTAGTCTATAGTCTAGTCTATAGTCTAGTCTTATAGGTCTAGTCTAGTCGGTAGTCTAGTCTATAGTCTAGTCTAGTCTATATTCTAGTCTAGTCTATAGTCAAGTCGTAGTCTAGTCTATAGTCTAGTCGGTAGTCTAGTCTGTAGTCTAGTTTAGTACTTTAAAACATTAAAAACATTAAAAAATACTCTTTATGTATGAAGTAGTAATTTTTTCTAAATTAAAATTTCCATACTGTGTGAAAATATTTATGTATGTCTGTTCAACTAGTGAGTGTTTGCATTTGTGTATGCAGAAGTAGTACTTTACCAAAAAAGACCAAAGATAGAGAAACACTAGAGATTTAACACCTATGGGACACACATATACACATGCATATAACCTATACTCAACAACAATTATCGTACATTATGCATCTCTCCTCTGTATGTAGAATACGATAGAGAATCATAGAGGAAAACCTATTAGAAATATGGTAATAAAGTGATTTGAGGTTCGTTATTTTTTGTTTCTATTGTTTTGCACGTTTGCAATGTACAAAAAGCAATTGCTTGAATTGGTTTTTGGCTAAAACCACAGTGGTAATCATTGTCGGTATAGTATGGTTTATATTTTAAGGTAAACAACAAATCAGAGTAGAATAGAATGTATTTCGAATATGGTGGTGCCCATGTGTAAGTACGGAAGATACTTCAGAATAATTAGATTTTGAAAATAACAAATTTATAGAGAATTTTGTTGAATATGTTAAAATTACTTATGACTTAAACTGCATTTAACATAAGAAAATGTACGTAAAGTATTAAAAAAAAATTGTCCTATAATTAACAATAAATCGGAAAATCTTTCAGTCCTCTTTCTCTCTTTAATATCGACATATCGCCTTCTTGCCAATATAACATAACCAATTTTATATTTTCGGAATCAGCAAGATATTTGGTTTACATTGGTAATTAAATGGATGATAAATCCCAAAATTTCACATATTTGCTTTTGCAGGCAAGACAACGATATTTTTAAAAGTGTACCAAATTTTTGTTCTCAAATGAACTTTGCTTTTATTATTTTTTTCTATATTTTACAAAACTTATGGTTTTAATTGATTTTCTTCCTTTTTTATAAATCGCATGGAATGTTACCCAAAGACCCTGAAGGCATCCAACTTTTTTATGGAATCTATAAGTGGTTCTTTTCTGTTATGGGTTCTTTATTTTAAAGTAAAATATTTTAAAAGTTTGAGTATTTTGTTTATTTATTAGTTACATTGAAAGTTGTAATTAATATTCTGTATTTTTTTTTTGCAAAAAATAAAACACAGAATTTTTATGGAAACCACAAGTACATTTTATTATTCAAGCTTTAAATACATATACATAAAACAGTGTATTAAATATTTAAATTTTAATAATCTTATCTGTTACGCATTTGTATTCAACATACAAAGGAATCTTTTACATAATATACAATTTATTTTCTAATTACACATGTTGTCTAGTTAATAATTATTATTTGCAATGAAAGTCTGCACTTACAAGTTTTCGCTTTTTATTATTATTATTTTTTCTTTTTACTTAAATACTTGATATTCTTTTGTTATTTTTGCAATTACGAGTGGTATTTTTTAGTCAAAGAAGTGACAGCTGCCAGACAGTGTAATTTATTGTGAAAATATTTTCCAAAGACTTGAGTGAAATAGTGGAATAGAAAAAAATGAAAATAAAGTATTTTAAAAATAATAATAAGCAAATTAAACCAATACTATTGAAAAAAGTAACTAAAAGATGTGGTTAGATAACAATTAAATACAAATCCCTATAATTAAGATACTGATTATTAATATGTATGTATATAAGTATACTTAAACAGTTAACAAATTTTAATAACCACAAACAGCATTTTATAATCAAGTTAACATATACAATAGGATACATAAGTATTTTCAAATTGAAATTTAAATAGATACAAAAATCTATACAGATATTGAAAAAACATCTTATGTTTGTTTGGGTTTTTTTTTTTTTTTTGTTAGTTACACACATCCAAAATAAAATGTCTCACCTCAAAAATAAATAAATATAGGAATCTTGACCCTTTTTATTTTTGTACTTATTTCTTAAGTTCTTTTTTTTTTTGCTTTATTTCTGGCCGACTAGTCAGACACTTATATATCTCTTGAGACTCATTATTAGTGTACATTAAGTTGTTATGTTCACTCAAGCATAACCATAACCATAAGAATCTATAAGATACAAATTTAATGTGCACAAAAATACAAACAACCAAACATACATACTTACATATTATCCAAAAATATTGTAAGATATACGCTTGCATTTAGAAACACACACAACTCATTAGGGTATTCAATTCAAAAAATAATTATTCATTGCTGCAATTTAATAGGTTTATAACCGAATAATGAGAATTTTTAAATAAATTTCACATTTGGAATAGTAATCAAGTTAGTATCTAAACTTTTTTAAAATTATTATGTCCAATCATTTTGAGAGTATTAATTCTCCTATTTAACTTCAAGATTATTTGAGTCGAGTATATAGGAGTAGTTTTCTTTAAAACTAATGAGGTATAGCAAGATATATGTTCCCGTTTTAGAATTAAACCATTTGAAGAACTAGAACTAGTATAAGAAATAAGCACAAAAGACAAAGAAAATAACTGCTGTTTAAAGAAAGACATTAAATAACCAAAATTAGTCGGATAATCGAATAGTGTGTTAACTATTGAATACCCTAATAAACATACATACATATACATATTTGTTTCTGTATATAAGAAGTACATACATATGTGTCTGTAATATTCAGTTTACTGTAGTAGTTGTAGAAAAGTATGTTGTTGGCGTGTTTAATTTATTACAAGAAACATTATTAGTGTATTTTTTTAGGTAAACAAACACACACATACATATGTATATACTATTACATTCTAATGTCTGTATAGAAGTTATTTTGTTTAAAGAAACACATTGGTTTTCCACTTTAATGC